CTTTCAACACCTCTATAAACGAGTGAATACTCCGTAATTTCCGGTCTTTATTATATGAAAAGTTTCGTTAATTAAACGCAATCTGACTAGCAAATTAAGATAAAACGAACAAAAAGTTTCTTCTGCCCTCTGCAATTTTCGAGTGACGTCCGCGAATACTTTTCAATTGACTCGTAAAGGAAACTTTCTGAGGGAGTTTGCGACTACTAGATTGAATGGGAATCGTCGACTTCGTTTTCGTCTTCGTTCCCGTCATCGTCGTCGTCGTCAAAATTGAAAACATATTGAATGCGCAAGGGTATAAAGATCTTGTCGCTAACTGCCACGATTTTTGTATTATTTTGTAACACTGCTTGTTAGGGGCAATTGTGTCGAAAACCAGTACATACATACATACTGTTCTTTTGTGGAAGTGTACACGTCACGTTGCTATAGTAATTTCCTGGCGTTTAATTGCAAGCTAGTAAAAGCCCTCAAGGGACTCTGACCAGAAATCGTTAGCTGTTGGCGTTGTCAAGCGGAAAGGCGTAAATAGGTAAAGGTACAGGAATTTGACGACAATTAAACAGTTTAACACTTACATTTGATGCTTCGTTTTAGTGTAAGAATTGATTCCTGATTTTTACATTGAAATAAATTAACAAATTTCCATTGTGACTATTTCGGTTATAGTCTCGCGATTAAATACAAGATTTTCGAGGGGAAAGAAAAGATTTATTTCACCAACTTAATGGAGTCGAACTAGAATGGTAATCTCGTGAAATTTCTCAGTTCTTCCACTGCTACACTAAGCATAGGCGATACGAATACGAAGCGGCCAACTTTACCGGATTATAAATGACGTACTCCCAGTTATTTTTCTTCTATATTCCTCTCAAATGTATATTCCACGAAAAGAGAGAAACGAGGTCAGATTGATGAGTAGTTCTGTATAAAGTTATTTTTTTTTTAGTTTTTCATAACAGCAATCGGTATTCGAGATGTTATCATAATTAAACTCACAAATCACAAAAACGTTTTATTTTCATTTTAATAATATTCTTTGTATCAAAAAAGTTAGAAGTAAAGTTTTCTTTTTAATTTCTAATAACGAAAGCGTACTGTTACAGAAGCTTTTAGTTAGCGAACTCCAGGTAGAAATTTCATCCGAGTCCATCTAACTTACTGAAGGACTTAATTGAGTGATGGATAGTATGGTAAGTGACAACATGGGAGTGATTCATCAAGTTGAATCGCACAGGACCCCTAGCTCGTTGATACGGTAACACAACTACTTGAAATCTGTTAGAAAGCTGGAGGAATTTCTAAGTAAAACCACGACACTTATAATGTAAGAAGTGTTTCGATTAATCTCAACGTCAATTAATCAACCGTTGTTCTAAAAAGTTTAATGAAAATCTGGGGGAATGAGTATTAATTACATAAAGTATTAGCAAAGACAAAATTAAATTTTTAGAAATAAAACTAGAAACTTCTAAATTTAATTATGAGTTAATCAGATGCAAATAACTAGTGATGGAATGGATAGTGATATTGCGAAAAGCAGGATACCGGTTATCCGGCATATCTATCCGGCCATTATGGTTATAATTTCTGGTACATTTCTGAAGTGATACCCTACATTGCCACATTATTGCGATATTTGAATAAAAATGAAATTAATAAGAAAGCTGATAAGATATGTTAACTTATTTGGATCCAAGATACAAAATGAGCCTTTTTGATGCTGATTTACGTATTTAGAGTTGCTCCTAACGAGGCAACTCTAAAAACAGGATACTTTAATTAATAATTGGTGATATTTCCACAAGGATCCTTCAAAAAATTAATTTTATAGCGAATTTTGAAAATTATCGATTAAAATTGCAACTTGGAAAATTTTCTTAAACCTTGAAATATTGTTTTCTCAAAAACTAAAAGTTATTTTTCAAAACGTGTCGGTTCATTAGAAAGAGGACACTCTTATTAACACTTTGGAAAATTTTCATACTCATATTTCAAGAATTGGATTTTATACGAATTTTTAAAACTTAATCGGCGAAAATTGCAAAATTCGAAAAAATTATCGATTATTTCAAAAATTTATTTCTCAAGAACTAAAAGTGATTTTTCAAAACCGCTTTTTGCATTAAAAAGAGGATACTTTAATTAATAATTGGTGTTATTTCCACAAGGATCCTTCAAGAAATTAATTTTATAGCGAATTTTAAAAATTATCGAAGAAAATTACAACATCTCAAAAACTAAAAGTTATTTTTCAAAATGGGTTGATTCATTGGAAAGCGGACACTTTTATTAACACTTTGGGAAATTTTCATACTCATATTCCAAGAAATCGATTTTATGTGAATTATTAGAATTTAATCGGCGAAAATTGGAAAATTCGTTAAAATTGTCGATCATTTCAAAAATTTATTTCTTAAGAACTGAAAGGGATTTTTCAAAACGGCTTTTTGCATTAAAAAGAGGACACTTTAATTAATAATTGGTGATATTTCCACAAGGATCCTTTAAGAAATTAATTTTATAGCGAATTTTTGAAAATTATCGATGAAAATTGCAACATCGAAAATTTGATCAAAACTTTAAATATTGTTTTCTCAAAAACTAAAAGTTATTTTCCAAAAAGTGTTGGTTCGTTGGAAAGAGGGCACTCTTATTAACACTTTGGGAAATTTTCATGCTTATATTCCAAGAACTGGATTTTATACGAATTTTTAAAACTTAATCGGCGAAACTTGAAAAATTACCACTACAAATAACTACTTGAAAACTAATTATTAACAGATTACTATTTGTCGCGTCCGGTATAAAATAGGGCTATTTTTTTTCGAAACTAGCAGTATAGTGTCTCTTGCTTCTTTTTACCCGATAGTGCTTTTTCTCAGGTTTCACCATATTTTCGCCCGTCTTTAGTCGACTGTCTATGCATTCCATCGAACCTGAAACATGACAAAGATAGATAAAGGTTCGACAGGTTGATTACTTACCGTATTTGTTATCTGCTATTATTCTTCCTTCCTTGCTGATTGGGACATCTAGTTCCTCGACATGTAATGCGGCAGCTTTGTTGGTTTTAGGTCCTTTACACATACACACGCCCTAACACATACAGGAACGATTCTCCATGTATTCTAATAGTATACACGATAAACTCGGACTTGATTCACTGGTAAGTGTTATATTTATATACTCGAATATTTTTCTGTTTCTGTTTCCCCACTCCCACTCTCTAAAGCTCGTACAACACAACATTTGTTACCAAATTCACAAATAGTATTCTTTCTTATAATATCCCTTTCACTCATATTCAAACCTGTATATCTTCTTAGCCAGCTTGCTATCTTGTGCTACCTTCTATGTTTTATTATTATCGCCCACCCTCGCCCCATAGCTTCAATAATCATATATATTCTTCGGCCTTTCTCCAAACCCATCTTTCTTCTCCTTTTATCCCCAAAGCTTTCATATACATGACGAAATTCGTTTTTTCTACATTCACTTCATTTACTATATTCTCTATAGCCAAATAAAATGCATAAATTTATCAAAATAAGAAAGGTATAAACCTTTCATATCAAAAAACCGTAATATACTAAAAAACACATTTCCAAAGACAATGATTTTTGTAAATCAGTAATTTTTAGTAACAAAACAAAAATTAATTTATTCCACCATGCTACAGTTTGACGAAAACGTAATGAAGCCCTCAACAAAAATATTTGTGTCCAACAATAAAATGCGGAGGTGGCGGAGTAAGAAGAACTGCTGGAGTAAGAAATATAGTGTTAATATATGCTACAATAAATAAAGAACATTATAATTCGAGATAATTTATAAAAATATGTTATGATAATATCGTTAAAAGTGGTCTCTTACAGTTTTAATACTACCACAAATAATTTCAAGTTTATAATCATGGTTTTAACTTAAATTTACTTTCAGAAGTAGTATTCTCGCTTATATTACCTCTTGTGCCCTGTTTCCTGTTAGTTTCGGCTAAACTTTATTCCCTCCTCTAACTTCCTATTGTAATTAGAATGTAAATTGGAAATTATGCCTCTTAAAATTAAATCAAGAGGTTATCAAGAATTATGTTCAAAATTATTTTGATACCTTGAAGAGTAAATTCTAATTATAACTATATTTTAATTTAATCTAATTGGAAAATATTATACTATTTTCGGGTTTTTAGAATAATGTATCTAGTTGAGAGTAATATATTAGATTGGCGGTTGGAGTCTGAAGTAGAGAATAGGGAAATATCTTCCAGGACGTTAACCATATTACTTTCTACATGACCATTTTTTATACTCATAAATCAAATGCGGACGTCCTGATTCAATTGAATAAATTAATATTTTTATTGTGTTACAAATAATCTGGAAAATTATTATGCATAATAAAGGAGCGTCAAGGTTAGGTCAAGGTCACAAAGAATAATAACGGAAAATAACATTTTAGGAATACTTTAGTCAATTTTACATAGAATACTATATTAAGAATTTAACGGCAATTCTATTTCGTTTTTGACCGGGAAAATGTCTAAATCCGCTATAATCCGTTGTATTATTAATATGTGCCAGCTGAACCGTACATGCATAATTAAGTGTCCTGGAAACAAAGGAAGTAGTAGGAAGTAGTCGGTTTGGGAAATGGTAAAATTCAAGAAAGCACAGTACAACAGCAGTGGAGCTCTAACCGGATGGAGCAAAGCTACTCACGGAATTTTAGGGGCCCCGTTAAGCTTGTCTCCGAACTTTAGAAATTATTAAACTGGATTATGTTCGCTGCTGGCAAAATACATTATGAACGAACTACTGCTACTAGCTAACTACGAAATGGGCTATAAAAATATTTTACGACAAGAGATCAACCTAGTACGGAAATTTGTGTATGTGCTTTTCCCTCTTTTAAAACTTAAAAATCATTTATTATTACACCAAATCCAGTGCAAACGACTACATTTACTAAATATAAAATCTATTATAACTTCTTACCTTGAAATGATATACTCAGAAGGATTACACGGAATAAAGTTATCGTTACCATACTTGAGCTCTTCATCAATTATTTTTTGACAATAGCTGAAAGAAAAAAATATGTACAATATTAATAATAATAGATATTATTTGTGCAAATAATGATACAGCAAAACCTCGATTAGGACGGACTTCGGATATAACGCATAAAATTTTAGGTCATACCTACTATTAATATTATCTAACATTTAAACATAAATGTTAGCGTTCAAGCATAGAAGGAGTTTTAGTTTTAATTGTTGTTCAGCGCTAGATTATTGTATATTTTTATTGAGCAAAAAGTAGAACTAACACTAGACTTAGAACTAGAAAGTTTCAAGTAACCTCAGAAAGTAAACTAATTTAATTTCTCATATAATATTGTATTATTAAAATTTAAATAGTGTAACAACAAATGAGAATTATCGCTAAACACACTCAACTTTAGCCAAACTTGAATATGAAACGTTGAGCCCCGTAAGAATCTCCAGCGAATTGAATTATATAGTCTATGCTTTTGTTTAAAACAGAGACTGCCTGTAGCTGTCCCCTTGTTCTAAATACACAAACTCAACAACTGGGGGTAAATTATAACTTTAACTTTGTAAATTTAAGCTCCGACTAAAATCATAATTAATTGTAATTTACGGCTCGAAGGGTAGTCCAAATAAGACTTGAGAAACTCTCGTTAGTAAATAACGTTCGAAAAACTTAATTTTTTTCTTCTAAAAACAATAATTGGTTGGCTTGAACTTTTTTAAAAACTCTTCGTTAACGAGATGTTTCATAAACTTAATTATAAAGTGTAACACTTAATAATTAGTGGAGATTTTTTAAAGGAGAAATATTTAGATTTAGTGTAAACAAATAAATATTTTTAACTTAATTTTTATATTTAAACGTTTTATGTTCATTTACCTATTTTTATTTGGTATAACAATACCATTCAGAATTGTATTTGCACTATTCTAAATAAACAAGCTATTTTGTTTTGGGTTTTATACCAGTTTCAGATTTTTCCAAAAAATAGTGTCCAACGCGGGATTGTTTAAATAAACAACAAACAAACGAAAAAAAGACCCGGCCTCAGCACCTGCTAACTCCAACCTGCACATTCCGTGCTTTTAAATGAAACATTTCAATAAATAGCGTGCGTAGCGTGTTTAGGCTTTGTTAAAAACATAAATCGTCGTTATTTGCGATACAGTTATTGAATTTTTTTTGTAGCGATTCGAGTCCGGATATGAATGTGTACATAGGCGGTGTTATTGAATTTTTCACAGCAGACTTAAATTGCAGTATTCAATTCAATTTAATAAATAACATCTGATACCTAAAAGTAAACGATGCATTTCATAATAGAAAGTATTATATTTGAAACATACCGTAATCAGAATTGTAAGGGATGATGAATTTGTACATTTTTTCCCAATAAACGGAAAAGTTATACATTTCAATATGGTAAAGGATCAGCTTTCAATCAAGACAATTGATGTGTAGTTTACCAGTTGATCATTATCGAAATCAATTAGTGAAATCAACGAGTTCAAAATTTCAGAGTGTTTTAAAAGTCGTCCCGAATTGTTAATATAATAGAGAAAAATAGCTTCAATACAAATTAATTTTTTTTTGTTTTATTTTTTTGCCATCCTGTTCCTTTATCATAAAGTGTACTTACAAAACCGTAAATTTAAGATTCATCAGCAGAAAAGGAAGATAATGTCTTTTACAGTCTTTTTGATGGATTGCCTAGAAAACCACCAAATCGGGAGAAGAAAATAGTGATATTTAGTGGAATTTGAGTACGCAAAAGATCTTCGATCCACTTCCTAGTTATTGTATTTGTTTCAAAGTACTATGCAAATTAGTCAGTGAGCTTTCAGAGATATTTCTTGAAAAGGACAGCTTACAACTATCGATGTATATCGCTATTGGATACCACCATGAAGATTTTCACAAAGCTTCTAGCTGACAGTATCACCAAACAAGTGCCCACACGAGAGGAACAACAAGGATTCCTCAAGAAACGCCATTATCATTATTCATTAAATAGCCGAAAAAGCCCTGGAATTCAATAAACCAGGATATCTTTGTTTCGTGGACCTCAAAAAGGCATTCCACGGAGTAAGGGTCTCCGACGTGCTGAAACTACTCATTGCAATGATCATAGAAACGACCAAACAACTAAACACGAATAACACGACAAAGCTAGGAACCCCGAACGGGAAAGGGCCAAAAACCAACATCAAAGCCGGAATCCGACAGAGTGACAACCTCAGTACACAACTATTTATGGACAGTATATTCAAGGACCTAAATGTAGTAAATAACAAATGTACACTGAGAAGAACAACAATAACGATTGTGTGCTATGCAGACGACGAGAAATGCAGAATCAGAAGATAGACTACAACGGCTTTTAAGAATGCATTCGACGAGGTAAACATGAAAATCGCGTCTAATAAAACGAAAAGCATGGTCATCGCAAAATCACCCATTTGATGCAAAGTTGCAGTGCAAAAGCATATCATTGAACAGGTGTTTCAATTCGACTATCTCGGAATACAAATCAATGCATATGGTTATATAAACGGCAGCGTCACAAAGGAAATCATAAAGGCAATAAGAATATCAGGTGCACTTTGCATGTAATATGAAGAAATAAACATATATCAATCGCAAGCAAGGTCAGAATATATAAGACATGCGTAACATTCGACCCTCGACACAGCTGAGATAAAGAGATGCCTGAGAACAATCGAAATGAAAACGGTATGTATAATTAGAAAACATATAGTAAAAGAAACACAGAAATCAATATATCTCGGGTGTTGTTAGATAGGTCCGGCAGAGACGACAAGAATGGAATGAACATGTATCAAAAATGGATCAGTCGTGCCTGACAAAATATACAACAGATAGTAAAACATGCACAAAAAGACCGATAGGTAGACCTACAAAGCGATGGAAATACAACTGGACCTCAGTATTACAAGAGATGTAGAACCACGAATTAATTAACAAGCCATTAGGCTTTCGATAAGAAGGAGAAGAATGTGTGTAAAATAGCAACTTTATAAGAGGCCGATTCAGGAAAGTACTCATTTATTATTACTTTCCTCTTGTAAAAAATTGTCCGCATATGTAAGATAATCTGACAACACCATTGAAATATTCTGTTCTAAACAGTCATTGGATCTTTGAATTTTCGCCGTTTTCTATATCTTTTAAAGCTCCCCTTTTTAAAGCTACAATAGTTTTTTACTTTTTAACTTCTGCTATGTTGCCATCTAATAATAATGTAGGTTAGTCTTGACATCGATCACGATCAACAAAATGCTTAGAATTTGAAAATAACGCGAATATATGTAAAGAATAATCACGGGCAAAAACATGAATTAAGATAAGCACACATGTCACTTATTTCCGAAAGTATTCACGAAGTGGAAACGCTTGTTTATCCTCCTGGGAATGCGAGTATTATATATACTTGTAATAAAAACTTCTTGCCAGAGCAATGTGTTATTTAGAAACTTTTTTATTTAAGGTGTAGAGTAAATCTCTAGTGACGTACAACTACAACTCTCGTCATGTAAAGTGCTTTAGGTTTTAATTTGTAGGGACATTTTTTTCACATATTTACTATGTAAAGTTCATGTAACGGTAAGTAATTAATAATTACTTACTGTATAATCTATAATTATTATAGATTTCTAATTAGTTAATTCTTTTTTATATTTACATAATATAAATAATGTAAAATTTCAGTTTTGGTTACTATTGAAAATAATATTACTTATAATGATTTCAGATTTATCTGATGAAGCAATTAACAATTGCACTTCAATGTCCCTGATTATGAACAGGAGAATTCTGATATAGATGAAATATGGACAAGTTCGTAGATTAAGCAGGTATAGCATCAGAAACACTTCCAAAATTAGGAAAGGCAAGTAGTATTCTAGCCACTGTAACTTCATAGTTTGGCTGACTTAGTGGTAGATTATCGAGTCTCGTTAAAGCTTATGTGCTATGTGAGATGGTACATACACAATCCTTTCTTTAAATCATACATAAAATCCGGAATTTATAACGTCTTTCGTTGCTATTCGATTAAAAATGGTGCTGTCAACAACCATTCCGTAGTCTTCTGTACAAATAAATGATCTGCGCAACAAATCTAATTTTTGAAGACACCACCTTATCATCTCCGGTATCTAGATTTGAAAGTACGACCAATATGCAAACTGTTTGCAGAAGTGTCGAGTTCTGTAACAGTTTCTTCGGTGCTAACCTAACCACTCCAAAGAGCCGTTCAACTACAAGTGCGAGAGACGTTTAAAAGCTACATATAAATGAGAATGTGAAACCGGTTAAATATATAATACTCCAACGAGAACCAAAACAAACGCAAAAAAGTGTGAATAAAGCCAAAGAGTGCAGATGTCCAATTTGTAACGAACTTTACGTGAATCCGCCAAATCCCGGTCCGATTGAATCCAGCGTCACGTGTGTCACAGATGGTTTCACCAAAATTGTAGTTAATATGGACTGGGTAAATCTAGATGAGGACAGTAATTAATTGTAATAATAATTATTATTAATCATTTTGACAACAAAACCGAAAATTTCAAAAATAAAATCAGTGGTCTTTGTTTGTAATATCGTACTGTTTTAAGTCATTTGCAGAACGGCATTATTTAACCAACAAATACATAAAAGTTTAGATAGGTGATCTATTAATGTACTAAAATATAGAATAAAATGTTTGAAGGAAAAACTCATACTTTGTTTTTCGTTTTTATGTGTACCGTCTTGTGAAGTAAAAAAGTGTATTTGATCTCGAGACCCCAAAACAGGCTTTTCCCGTGGGCGCACGACAAAGTGAGGCGAAGCCAAGCACGGAAGCGAACACGGGAAAAGCGGTTCTGGGCGAGTAATAAACGATATTTTTCATTGCAAGCTTTCAAAATAAAAGGATATGGCGAAATTATTAAACGAAAACTTTAATTAAACGAAATATAACTATAATATATACGCAGACTGATCCAAAACTGATCAGACACACTTTATCTTAGACAAATTTAATAATAACGAAGATAGAGATGGTTAAAGTTAATAATTAATGTTGGGGTTTCTTTAATATCTTCGTTTAGTCTTGAAATATCGACATGCAAATTAGTTTGAAATTGGTATTAGCTTTGATCTACTCTCTATAGAGCACTGTCTATGCCATGTTAATTATTTTAGAGTGGTCCCACATTTCTTATCATTAGAATTTTTTTAAATTATTACTTTCTAATTTTACCAGATATATATTCTTGAAAGAATTAAACAAGAATAATTTCTATAATTTAGTCAATTTACAATCTGTATGAGTAGACGAAAACGATCAAAGTTGTGTTCTGCATGAAAATAAGGTTTAAGTTTATTCTCTTATTTCTCAGGTAACCCCATAGCCGGATAAATACAATTTTTATTCTAGTCAGCGCCTTGGGATGGATTAGGGTTCAGGACAGAGGGTTAGCTGAAACCAGTTCGAACTCACTTATCCGACGTAGCCGCATGCCTGTGTACTTTTAAGCCGGTTAAGCTGATTAAAGTTTCAAGAGTAAAGTTTGCACATGCCTGCCACTATCTAAATAATTGTAACTAATTGGCAATAGTCCAGATTCTCATTAAAAAAGAAAAAAATTCTACGTATATTTAAAACGTCCTAATCGTTTTAATTATCAATTTTACTTCTGCAAAAAGGTATAATTTTTTACGAGCAAAGATAATTTTAGAGGGACCTTCAGGCGATATGATACGACATTGAATCTTATTAGCATTTCAAATCGTGTGAAGGGAAAGGGTGCCTGCCCTCGGTGATGAGGGCTGAAACCGCAAAAACGATTCAATTGTGCTCAGCCTACCAAAGAGAATCGATATCTCGCTGCTGGTTTAGTTATTTCGGCTATTCGAGGAAATTGAAAGTCATTCTGTTAGTCAAGGGCAATTTACACAATTTCATGAGTTTAGGTATCTACGTAGTAATTTGTTAATTCATAAAGTGCGAATACCTTTTTTATTTATTGCTATCAAAGAATGGTTGAGACAATATATTGAACCATGAAATTACTAATAATGAGGACTCTTACTAAAAAAGTTATTAAAAAGCTTTTTGTCTATTTTAATCTGTGATTATGCAGAAACCGGTAAGATGATATTCTGAGTCAGCGAAAGAAATCATAATAACCAAGTTCATGAAAAAAGAAAAGAGTATTTTATGTAAAATGTTCGTAATTTCATCTTAATATCTCAATTCCTTTTTGAGATGCAATTTTCTAAATAACTGTTTTTAAGAAATAGATGAATATGTAGAGTTCAGGTTAAACAATCATAATGACGATGTTTGTGGAAAATAAGAAATTATTAATGGCACACTAAATCTTTAAAGAATGTACTTTTAAATGCTTGTTATTTCATCAAAAGATCTCAATTCGTTCTTGCGATACGGTTTTACAAGTTTCTATATTTAAAATTTACACAATTGGATTTTAAAATTTATAACCAAGATTTTTATGGAAAACAAGATATGTATTGATGGGACATTTAGATCTTCACGTCTACGTTGCTTTAAAATATTCATTATTTCATCACGATATCTCAATTCGTTTTTGAGATATGATATCTAAAATGTTTGCACTGAACTCAATAACACTGAAATGTATAGAGTTAGGTTTACTTATAAAATCATATCTAAGAAGTTTATGGAAAATAAGAAATTATTTATAGCATACTATATCTCAACTCAAAATGCTTTAAGTTGTTTGTTATTGTAGCATATTATTTCATTTCGTTTTTGAGATACGATTTGCTAAATTTTTTCTTATAATCAGTAACATTCAAATGTACAGAATTGGGTTTAAAAGATCATAACAATGAGGTTTATATAAAATAAGAAATTATCTATAGCACGTTATATCAATATGAAATTTGCTTTAAAATGTTCGTTATATCATCACGATATCTCAATCCGTTTTTAAGATAGTTATAAGTTTTAGTATTTATTTTTAACTTCCATTTTGCGTTAAATTTCGATAAAAATCCACATCTTCGAATATTTTATGAAATATTTTTAGAACATATAGAGACATTTATCTATTTTATCGTGGTGAAATTCCATTTCGAAAATCTCATTTAATTTCGACGATAAAAGATTTTAAACACTTCAGAAATGTGTCAGATCGTAAAAGAGCGATTTCTAACACAACTGTTATGAATGTTGGGGGATACTTAAAGAAATCGGTTACCTTTTTAACGGAGAAAAAGCTTGCTTTTAGTCACTTTTTCTTTTTGAGTAATATTTTTTTAAGTTAGCGTAAGCTTTAATACTTTTAGAATGTACAAACGCAATTGTTTATTTTATAGCGATAAATTCGGTTTTTATACAACATTTTGCGGATATGTCTTGGACAGCATAAATCTTGTAATGTCTTTATATGGAAATAATAAAGCATCAATATTTATGCTTGACAAATTTAATATTGGATGTCAATTTGTACAATGAAATTTAATTATTGTGATGGACATGAGTTTCTTTCTGTTTTTCAGAGGATTGTTAATAATTAGTAATAATGTTGACAGCATGAAAGCTTTTTTGTAAATATATTATTATTAAGTTATTAATTGTTTGTGAAAATGAGTACAAAAATTAAAAAGAGATTAATCATTTATCACTTCTCTTTAAAGTACGTCAATTAAATAATAAACTTTGAATAATATGTTAAACTCTAGATTGTAATAAAGTAAATTACATTTGGGTAAACAAGTCAATATTTCACGTGGAGTATCAAATATCAATTTGGTTGGAGGTGTCATAGTGCATAAAAGCGTAGTTAAATATTGAACTGCATGTACAATATTAAATATGCTAACATGTTTACGTATAAATTTGTAAACATTAAAGATTTTATCAACAAGTTCTTGTGCATTAGGTGATGAAGAATATTTCAGATAAATTTAAACGTATTATGTCCAAAGAAATCAACAAAAAGTTTCAGAGGTAAATTTATTTACTTATTTATGTCCGTTATTTCAATTTCAAAATTAATTATGAAAACATGTCAAAGGAAATTATTAAATTGTTATTAACAAAACACAAAATAAAGTCACAAAGAAAGCGATAAAAGCATCATTACGTCAGTCAGTTTGGTTAAAGCATAAAAACTATTTTACCGCGTACTAAATTACGATATCAAACAAAACAATAAAAAAGACAAACAAAACCGTGGAATTATTCATTTAAATTTGATTTGCCTAGCAAAGTATATTATTGTTTAAATTTTCATTTCATTTGAATTTCAAACAAAATTTAGAACTATTTTTATTGATACAATCTCCTTTTCATGTCCTAGTTTCTGTACTCTACTCCCCATTTTGGTTCCGACCAGTTCAAAATAAGCACAACAAAGAAATCCACTTACTTAACAACGGTTTTCATCCATATCTTCTCGAAAAAAAGAAAACAATAATTTCACAAACAGCAGTCACAAAATGACAATATTGTTTTTGTATGTAATTAACTCTTGGGGTGATCAAAAAAAAAATTTTTAACTTTGAAGAGATCGAATACAATATATCTAGTTTCGTTCGCAATTTGCACCCGACGTCGAAGAAAACCGTTTGCAACCCCTATTCGGCAACACGAAGGAACGCTCGTAACAGACTGGATCTGGGGATGCTGCAAACTCTACGGATTTCCCGATATTACCCCCACCTGGCGGGAAAAGCTAGAACACTGTGACGGGAATGGTCTCGGATTGGTTGAGCGCGTCTGTGCATCCCAAGGCCTTCACACAGCATTTTTGGGGTAATTTACTCGTTAGCGAGCTATAGGGAAATCGCTGAAAAGCATTGAATCCCCCCAATGCATGCGAGAGAGGTAATCCACCCCTACTATTACCTACTACCTTTGTAGAACAGAACGAAGGACAAACCTTTGACTCAATTTCGATTCGAACACAGGATATACTGCCTTGGCCTGATTAAACGACATCGTCATTTTCCGCCGTCTCTCTTTTACGCTACTACAGCTGCTGCTATTTTTATACAAAAGTCACTTGTCTGGGCGGATTTAAATTCGTCATTTGTACAATTAGATAATCAATTCTTTCAATGTGCAAAAGGAGGTTTTTATTTGAAATCCAAGGATTTGAGACTCGTGACGTTAACGATCAAATTGAACAGATTACGTACTCCTCTGATTTGCAATGAGATTTTATGCTTTACGTGTAAAATCCCATTTGAAAAATGCGTTCATAGACTTACCATAAATTTTCACCAGATTATAATTGAGATAATTATAGGAGACTTTAATATAATCTTATTATTAATGTTACTCTAAGGAGGGTATATTAAATGTATATGATATCGACCAAACATCCAAAAGGTACTGAAAATTTTAACGTTACCATTTCATATTAAACTTGACTTAATAGAACAATTTGTGAATATACTGAATATATCTTGAATGCATTGTTAAGTTTTCTGCGGCAAATGTGTACAGTGGGTAAAAAACTTTATCAAAACCTATGAAACATGGATTTCCAAATATCATTGAATCTGCATGTTTTAATCAATCACTAAGAAATATTTAAATAGGACATGAACTGAAGCTAAACTTTACTTTAGAAGCTTTTGGGTTTAGTAACACTATTGCATAAATTAGGTAACCATAGGAAACAAAAATGTAAATCAATTTGTGTTATAAAGTGGTCAAATGAGAGCAAAAAGAAGTGCTCCGAAATGAAACGTTAGATACTGTATGCAATTCAGTGGTTTTAAAAATACAACAAAAGCTTCATATATTTTACATTTAAGCCTTCTTCTTTTTTGCTCATTTCCACTTTATGTGGGGTCGGCTCTCCTAATATTTCTGTGTCATGATATTCTGTCATGGTGCAGATAAATTATTTTTACTTAAAGTCTTGGTCATGCTGGTCTACCAGGTAGAAGGGAGTCGCCTTCTTCCTGTGTTGTTCTCCGGGAGGCTGAACGTGGTTGTACCATCTCAGGCAACTTTCCATAAATTTCTCAGTCACTGAGGCTACTTTGAAGCTGCCGCGAACATATTCGCTAAGAATCCTGTGTAGAACCCTTGCTGACATGAAATGTTCTAAATAATATTCTTTATTAAGCTTGTCAAGATGGCGAGTCTTTATGTCTGTTAGGTGATATTTCAAAACTTTTTCTGTTTGAAGTCAGAGGTACAACAGAATTGAAATCTTGTTGGACAAATCCATGGCTAAAGTGAATTTGAAGTGTGTGAAAGAAACATATTCTTAAGAATGAATAGAAAGAATTTAACCTTGAACGATTTTGAATTTCTGACCTGCAGTCACAATCTAAGCTTCAAACCTCAGCTGCTTGTAATCACATATAAGCTAATGAAATTGCATTTTAAAACTTCATAACTTAGGTAGTTAGCCAGTTTGGTCGAACCACTTTCTTCATTTCCTCGGCTTATCTAGTTCTTAGTTAACTTGTTCCATCCGATAATTTTCGGAAATTTTGTAGTACGATGTAATCAGTTTTAGATTTTATTACTTGATTTATTGTTTGTGTAGCAACCGTTTTGTTTTGGATATCCTTGAGCTGGTTAACGTAGCTGTGACATTTCCACCTGCTTCTATGTCAACCAATCCAATATGTATTATTTTTTTGAACGTATTTGAACACCCGACGCCACAAACCAAGCTCAAGCCATTAATGGCCAGAAGTTTTTGTTTAAAAACCAGATAAAGTGATAATACGGAAGTTGGATAAATCACTTTTGCTGACATCTCTGCTATTCTTGTTACTTAGGCCCAGAAGATGTAGTCTGCTTAAATTTTGCAGTTTTCCGTGAGCCAAATTAATAGAATTTCAATGCGAACCAGCGGGCTTTAACGGCGATATGCAAAAGTGGGTTGGAACACAATCTTATAAAGTTGGCCATACTTTTTCGTATTTAATTATATATAATAAATAATAAATAAATTGCAAACAACTTGTCTAGTGAACACGCTCTAACGATACATGATCTAACAGATACACTAGCATTAGTATCTATACTCTATATCTATACTCTAATATCTACCTAATATGATGTATACTCAATCCAGCTCAAATCAAACCAATCTAACTCAACCCACTTATAGAAAATTATCTCTTTCTTCCGAATCAAAACCTCGTCTTACTGACATGATCACGAACATCTTTAATCATTTAGTCATTGTAATCTATACGACTAATCGTGAACGTAAATCGTTTAACTTTTTATTATGACTGCTTTTCTTTACGGTGACAGGTAATTTTTTGTTTAGGTAATTTACTTATGTAACTTTCCAGTTTTTGACAACTTTTTATTGGCAACATAAGCACAGCGCTATGCATTCGCTCAGTTTACTATACTCAACATTGTAAATTCCTTCCTTTCCTTATTATGTATTTCCGTAGAATATATCCATTTCGGTAGATTAGCCGTGGTGGCTGTCTTTTTCTTCTTGTGATGTTTCCTTGTCTATACTCTATCCCTTAACATAATATTTAATATATTACATATTATTAATTTATAGTTTTTAGTTTTATAGTTTTACCATTACATTTTGTTTTATTCGATTTTTTTTAATTTCATATTTTGCAAACTTACTTTTCAAATTTGTTTAGTGCTAACTCTCGCAGTATTTTTAAGTGTTTATCAGAATTTCCATAAGCATCTGACTGTGAGAGTTATCATCTGATCAACTTCCATTTCTAGCTTCCGGAAGCTGGTTGCAAACTGAGTGCAAACTGGTTTTGGATGGTGCTGCTACTGAAGTCTACAATATAGGTATTCCTTTGCCTTGCAAACAATATGATGTGTCGATTTTATTTTAATGTTAAAAATCAAATCATAAATTATCATATTAACTGCTGATACTGTCAAAAGATAGCATACCATAGCCGAATGCAGCTCGATATCATATTCTTTAGCTTTCTCAAATAGTTGATTTACAACCCTTCGCATTGAAGATTTGAAATGATGTTCATACTGTTCTGTGGTCAGCTGATAAATGCTTCATATTCTGAACATCTTGATATTGGTAAATTAATCCATATATATCATCTACTTCATTCTTGCGATCTGAAAATTGCCCAATTTCTTTCTCTCTGAAGACAAAGTCCTATTCATTGACAATATTAATTATTCATCCATTTGTTTTTCGAACTCTCAATGTAAGGATTTTGTCTACACTATTTGTCTAAAATAAGTTGTAGAATTGCAAGTCCTTCCAATATAAATGGAGGTTTATTTCGTATTTCGGACAGTGAGTCTTTGATTAATGCATCTAAATTCTTGAATTTTATTTTTAGAAAACCCTTTATAAAAGCACTTTATACGTTTGTCCTGTGTGCCTAATTATGAAGATAAAAGGCTTTCTCTTCTCCTGTAAATGAACTCTCTACCTTTACGAACATGTTTCAACCATTCAACCACTTATTAGATTAATTAACCTTCTATAAACTCTAAGTAACCAGCCTATAAAAATAGAAAATAATTGAATTGCGTATTAAGTTGAAAGCAGGTATATTCGCACACAAAGTAACATGAAAAATGCTGTTAGCGGTCAATATGACCCTCATATTAGCAATTAAGAGGTAAAAATTGTAAGGTTGTTATACAAATAATTGGAGAATAATCCGATTTAAAATCATTGTTACGTAAATTTATGAGGAGGGAAGATAAATGTTCAAAGTTTTACAAGACTTTGTTTTTGCTCCTTAAATTTATGTGTTTATTAGTGCTATGGTTTTTTACAACGTGTGGGTATAATCACATGTTATCTAGAACAGTCAATTCTTGCCTTTACGGCCATAAATCTATCTGGCTTATTTAGACAAAGTTATATAGTATAATATAAATTTTAGTGATGGTTGAACAAACAAAGATATCTCATAAAAAAACTTGAAAGAAAGATAGAACTAAAATAAATACAAAGAACGAGTAATGAATAAAAAATTATCTCATTTTTAAATGTGGGATAATTTTGATGTATGTGAGCATTGGAGATTTTCTTTAAAAGAAAAAATCTGACAGGGCACTTCTATTTCGACAAAAGCCCTTTAATGTAAAAGGGTTTCCGCATTTACTATGAGTAGGATTAAAAAGCTATGTTACCGAGATCATGATGACACTACCATGTCACACGTTAAGCTCGTAAATAAGGATTGTTATAGTATTCTGCTTTAAGGTAATTGTATGCGCTGTAGTTTTCAAAGGGTTTAACAAAGGGTTCGTGTGATTAGAACAGTCGGCTAATTGCAAGTTGTTTGAGTATTATCGTTTATACATATTTTGATATATACGAATAATAATAAGTTAATAATAATTTTGAGAAAATAAATGTTATTGTAGTTGGGGCGATATAGCAACAAGTATAACCAACAATAACCGTAATTACTAACCAATAATTCATATAAGCTTTGCAATTATCGAGAGGTTCCCTGTTAAATTGAATATTCCCCAGTTGGAAATTTATGTTTATTATTTTTGATTATAAATCTGCCAATACTTTAACGCTAAGCCGTCAACGTGATGTTTGTGTTGTTTATTCGATTTGCTAAATGCGCGCATAGTTACGCGCGTAACCCACAAGCCTATTGATCGTCGATCGTCAACAAAACGTACAATAATTACAGA